ATGTGCCTATTTGATTGCATACTGCTAATTTTGTTTATTACTTAGCATAAACTTTTTATACGTACATAATATAGTTTAGAAAGTCTTATGTAACAATTGTTCGTAAAACCAATAATTTTAGTGTTTATTTTAGTGAAAGTAACCGTGACACCTTGCCCTTATCATAACAACCCCAAAATTAAGGGGTATTGGCCAACTAGTTGGGATGTAATTAGACTAATAAACTCATTATAATTTATAATGATACAAATGTTTTTATTATGGTGCCGGCACTGTTTCCTTTTTCCCGGTAATCATTTAAAGGATGGGGTAATCAGTTAGACACAACTTTTAGATCATTTATTAAGATTCAGGGGGCATTACCATTAAATTAACTATCGTTCATTATTTTTAGGGACAAGTAAAAAGGCCCAATTAACTAAAACAGCCGATATTGATGCAGACTTAAGGGTAGCTACATATAAAATTGGTACGTAGCTACCCCACTTATTCCTTATGTTATGTTCTAATGCTTGCATCTTTACCCTTACTTTAACGTGATATTATACTTGGTAATTGTAATTTGAACGCTATTTTGAGTTATTATAGTAGAAATTACAATTCAAGAACAAGTCTATATAATAATAATTATTAAATACAGAGTGTTTCAACAGAAATTCAACAGAAATTCAACAGAAAGTGAACAGCAAAAAATAAAATTTTTACAAAGACAAATTTCTTTTCTGAGATACCATTCTGATCAAAAAATTTTTGGATATTAGTTTTATTATATATGAAAGGTTAGATTTGATGCAATATGTTTCAGATTCAGATTGTAAGAAAAAAAAATATCAGTTATAGGCTAAATATCTCTATGTTATCATCAATTGACCTAATCAAAATTTATAAGCAACATACATAATTTATTAATTAGAAATTAAGAATTAAATTCTACTTCAAAATAATCTTCAAACCAGTGCTACCATTCTAAAGGATTCAATAATATAGCTGGTATCGTGAGGTCCAAAATCTTCGGAGGTAACGCCTTCGTTCGTCGAACCAATATATTTCAAACATCCAGGCAAATATCGAAGCGCGACAATCAAATTGTATTCTGGTGGTCTTTCAGTTAATTCGAGTTTTCCCATATGAACCAATGCTATAAGAAAATAAGAAAATTTAGATATTGAAAAAAAGAGCAAAATTGGATTTTTTTTTTAAATAAAATACCTTTGATGATGTCAGAATCATCAGTAAAAATCCATGTTCCCCAAATTCTCGTGTCTTTTCGAATAAGACTGGCGGTGGTGAGCCATTTTGATGAGACCATTACTTCAGCTATTTCACCAGGTTTTGATTTTGTAACCTTCGGATAAGTATAAAAGTTGTCTACCACCTTAAATGAAAAAAAGACCAAGGTCAACAAAAGAAAAAATGTTTGAATATACTGTCAACTATCGATATAACGGACTGAATTTTTAATAGGAAATTTTAAAATGGATTCAATAGTAAAAAGGTTATATTATGTATAACGGACCGTCTATGGAAAATCTCTACGTATCATCATGATAGATTTTCCATAGACGGCTAACTGACATGAAATATAATTGAAAGTCTGATGACAAATTTTCTTTTGACGGCACTCATATAATGTATCAGCTGGCGACAAAATTAGGGTGCAGTTCTGTAACTGCGATTCTTTAAGAAGTCTAGCTTGAATTAGGTCTATAACGGAATTTAATATCTTCCGTTATATAGATATAATGAATATGCTGTATAACGGAACTTTAGATTTTCATTATACTGATAGTTGATATAACTTTTATATTTTTACTTATTTACTTTCGGCTTAACAATCATCTCAAATAATGGGTATTCTTGAGATGCAAGAATTAAAGCCAACTCATCTTCAAAAGATACTACGATACGGTCATTGTCTTCGTCCAGAGAGTGAAGCTCTACACGTTGGTCGTAACTTACGTCGAAGCGTTCGCGTAACTGATTGATGAGAAGTAGTTTAGTCAATTTATATTGTAACAATTTATGAAAAACTTTAAAATTTCATATCTACCTTATGCTCCAGCTCTTCTAAACTAATATTCTCTCTGATGTCAATTTTACGAGCAACCTGCTTACCGTCATGCTTATATCTTATTTTGATAATCATATTTCACTATTAATTCTGTTTCTCAAAGTTTCTAAACTTAATAATGAAGATGAATGAACAAATTTTTTGAACGATAAGAAAACTTGAGATTACAAAAATATTCAATTTGGAGTTAATGTTCAATTTATATAAGTAGCAAACAACGCCTATCAAACTATGTAAAATTACAATTCATATGATCAGTATGAATACTGCACTCTGAGTTACTTTACTATGTTTAATTTCAAAATATGAGCATATTTTGTAGCTCATTTTAATTAAAATGAAGAACAGCTTCAAGAAGGTAATCTTTTTGTTAATTATCTTTCTAGAAGATTGTCCATAAATCAGGTGTTATTTCTTAAAATAGCGATATTCGTTTCGATTTTCTTAACTATGTACATATACGGTATATTATAAATATCCAAAAAAAGCATATCAGACCGAATTTTTAAAGGGCGTACGTACATAGTATGTGCATTTATTGATGCTCGACCGTTCGTACTTAATGCAATATTGATGCTCGACCGTTCGTACTTAATGCAATATTGATGCTCGACCGTTCGTACTTAATGCAATATTGATGCTCGACCGTTCGTACTTAATGCAATATTGTATGTTAAGGCTTTTTTAACATCAGATATTAAATAATATACATTAACATGCAGTACGTATAACGGATTTTTTATTGAAACCAAAATTGCATTTATTGAATATTTGCATAAAATTTGAATATATATATATACGTCTTATAAAGCCTCGTATCGATATAATTCATCACATACACTCGGGCAATAGAGATGGAATAGTCTGTTCTGATCAGTCTGGACTTCAACACTAAAATTGAACACGTAATAACCAATAATTACACATTTATGCTAATATTGTCATGTGCCTCAACACTAGTGATGTAACCCAAACCATTTGGGACGTCCCAAACCATGCGATAATTAGTATAACATAGCAGCCGAAACTAATGCTATACTGATTGTCACATAGTTTGGGATGTCCCAAACCATGCGATAATTAGTATAACATAGCAGCCGAAACTAATGCTATACTGATTGTCACATAGTTTGGGATGTCCCAAATAGTTTGGGTTACATCTATACTCAACACTTGGAGAAAAATGAGAGTAAAATCTTTTCCGTTCATTATTGGAATGTGTTTTTATTATTTTGTATTTTTTCCTTAAATTGTTTTTTTTATTGATTGAATTATTCTTTACCATCCGTCTTGGTCTTTTCAGCGGGCAGAAATTTAATATTGTTTTTGCCAACTACTGTATCGATATAACGGGGTACCCTTACACCAGATTCACCGGTTTAACGAATTTCAAACGGCTATAACGGACCCAATGGTAAAAAGGCCATATTCGATATAAGGATGGAAAAAAAAATAAGTTTACTTTTTCACCGATTTAAAACAGGTGATGGTTAAAAGTCCGAGTAGTTAAATTTGTTTTTAAACATACTAAGACCATAATCATTACCTGTTTTTAATTATGTAATAAAAAACATTTTCCATCCCTTATTCGACACGTAGTTGCTAATTTTATTAAATCACTAACGCATATGGCGAATTTGAGTGTCGCCAAAGGAAACCCGGGTAAATAAGATTTGCGAATTTTTTCCCTTTAATACAGTGTATCGGTTGGCAGCCAATTAGAGCGCTGTTCTATGACTACAATTTTACTACGGAATTTGATATTTGTCAAGCCTATTAAATATATCGATAGAACGCATATGTTGTATACGAAACTTTAGGTCAGCCTGCCCGTTATATCAATAATTGACTGTAATATTTATGAAATCTTCAAATTACTTTGTGTTGAAGATGAAATTATGACCATTCATCACAAAATATTGTGAAGGATCATCGATGATCTATATTTTTCACATGTTAAATTATTATATAGTTAAAGCGTAAATATACATTATTATAAATTTGGAACCGAGTTTCATTTTTCATGTCAAAAAAAATTTTTGATGTATAGTATATATATATATATATATATATATGAGTATACCCGTTGTACTACTGGTAAAATTGTAAATTTAAATAATTTTTAACAGAATCATTAATATTCTATATATATAGTTTAATTTTATTGAATTGATTTTAAAATTAATAATTAATTTAATAAATTTATTTTTTTAAAAATTTTAATGTCTACCTGTAGAATATTTTTAAAATCTTATATACATTATAAAATTATTACAGTCAGATCTCTTTAAATGCATAGCCGATGGGCGACCAAAAAATCTTGCATTTAGAAAGGTATTGTATAAAAATCTGTAAGTGTTATATGAATTGGGACAAATCAGGCCATGCGTTTAGAGAGGTCTTTTATAAGCTATGTATTTTTGTAGTTTTTTTCTTTTTATTATATGTATTTTTTTATTTTATAATAAAAATATTTTTTATATTGTATATTGTCATCCCTGCAATAATTTTCATGAAATAAAGGGCTCCCAATTTTTTATTTAATGCGATCGCGTAAATGGGCTTTACTTATTAATCTATGCTTTCACACTTACTATTGGGATTGAATTTTGATAAGCCTTCCAACATTTAAGACGATAAGCTTTTTTTCGCCATAACTAATTTTTTTTCCATTTAAAACCGCGTGTAATAAATGGTTTTGGGTCCTATGCATTCCTTCCATGCAAACTTGCAATTATATTTATTCAGAAAAAAATTATTTGTAATAATCTAATATATATATTAACGAAACTAGCATGGATAATAAAGTTGTAACAAAAAAATAATTTTACGTATCGAATAAAGTTATAAAACATTTTACATGTGACAAAAAAAAAAAATTTTACATAAAACTTTTTTAGAGTACCTTATCCCCACTATATATTTATTGTTAATATGCGCTAATCGATTTTTTATAAGTTACATTACTGCTATTTAAATCATAGTAATATCCAGCATCTTCAGAAAGCATTGTATCTATATCATTTATCTCGTCCTCGTCAGAAGAATAATTCTCATCCTCCTCATCAGGTATACTTATCTCTTCCTCAGGTAAAGATTCGTCTTTCTCATTTACTATATCTTCTGAATTAAAGGTAGTGGGTGAAACTTTGTTTATAGGTGATATATGTTCCTTTATTTCTAATGAAACCTTTTCAATAATACACTTACCTCAGTATCTGATAATTTTGATGAATCGTTACGTTCGGTCACATATGCGTTCCAATTTGGAACGGAGATATCAAGAAAAATTTTCGATCATATGTGAATTAATATACATCGATATCAATCAATAAAATAAATAAATTCACGAAATACATATGCAAAGTAAACCGATCATATATGTGAAATCGCCACCAAGTCAGCTTCATTTATATTGCAAACAATAGTGCGAAGTACATTTTATTTGGCATTTACTCAGATCTAATAAACTCGAATTTGCATCAACCGCGAATAAAAGATTAAAATAGATCATTCTCTTTATGCAATTTCCCTAATACAGTATTTTATGCATGCATTATCGAAAAAAAATCTTATTAATAGAAAAGGCAAAGAGAATAAAAAAAAAAAGAAAAAGAAAGATGAAAGAAAAAAAAGGAAAGATAAAGTAAAAAATCTAAAATACAACGATTGTTGTGTTGTTGTTGTTGTTTTCCTGTCACGTGTCTTGTTTGCTTGAGTTTACAGGGTCTAGAATAAAAGGTCAGAAAGTGATAATATCATAAATATCTATAAAATAATAATACATAATGTAAAATTACAAAGTGATAGAAAACGAATAAAACATTAAATTATAATCTAATCTGAATAATCTATTTCTATCTTATACACGAATGTGTTCGTTTAATCGTCCAGCGGTAAACCTCTCTGTATCTTGACACATTCTATTATACACGGTGACAAAGGTTCTAAATCGACAGGATTTCCATTTTGGTCAATATGGTTACGACTGCGTTTAACAGCAGCAATAACATTCATAGCTTCGGATGCGGTCCTTTCGACCACTTGATCATCATAAATGACTTGAACATTTCCTCTATCCCTACTTGTAATGGCGCTGACTAAGCCACTAAGATCAAAGGGAGGTGTATCAGGATTAATATGATGATAATATTGCTATTCTAAACTCATCAATTTTATCACGACCTATAAACAAATCATTTGTTAATTCTTATATTGATAATTGTTGTTTTGTAATTAGTAATTACATACATATATCTTTTGAAAATCACACTTTGCACTGAACAACAAACTTCGTTCCAAAAATTCCCACTATAATATCTCGTCCTAGATCTCCACTTTTCCTATAAATTAATAATTTAATGAATATATTTCATCGTCATATATAGCTGGGGCCAGCATGTATCTTATTTATCATTAAATCCGGCAGGGCTGGTTCATTCCGGATAACGATAACTGAGAAGAACGTTCACTGCCGAAACCGTGGCCACGATGTGCTTTTAATTCTCGAATAATTTACATCGATGTAATAGCATAACTTCAGATACATAATGACTCGATATATTATTCAATAAGAAAACTTACCCGAATGTGTAATAACAGCAACATACACTTCCAATTCTCTCAACAACATAACACAGAACTCCTCAAATCTTTTTCCCAACTCTTTGATGACTCTCCTTCGATACGAACAAATTCAATTTCTTGGGACATTTTTTTTTGGTTCAAAAAAAATAATTTGTATTAGCAAACACTGAAAAACTTTCATTTATATCACCATCCCTTTTTCATTAGGAACATTCTGTAAAGAAAACGTGTAAGTATTACTCGAATCATTTCATCACGAAGAAGGTCGTTATAAAAAAACATGCTGAAAACCCATTTTTAGAATGCGTCGAAAACCTTTATTTTCATCAGATTTATATTTATTTCTGATCGCATATCAAAACACTTTATTTAACCTCAAATAGAAATTACAACGCGTATACAATAGGGATGTTATCCTGCTTGCCCGAACTCTGTTCGACCCCTGTTTGAGACCCAAACTGGACAAACTCGACTTTCGGCGATAATGTGGTTTTATTATGTTATTTAAAACTCCGTATGGCAAATCGAGTTTGAAATCGATTAGGCATTACGTTGATATGACGAAAATTAGCCTCTATTAAATGGTGATAACAAAGCAGGTTTTATTAACTTGTTTGATCAAGCATAATTATTAGTATATATATTTGTATAACTGAGTTCGATAACTGGTTTCACGTATATGGTTTGAAACAGTGTTCCAACACTTACCAAATTCGGTTGTGTTGTGTATGAAAATTAAATATCTTATAATTTTTAAAAGAAAATAATATTTTTGCTATAAATATAAATTGTATAATTACATAACAAAAGATTGACAAAGCTTGGCCACAAAATTTTTTCAAACTTATCTGAATTCCTCTCTATACACATACTCTAAATGCATAGTTAAACTCTTCAAAACTTAATACGTAAATGCATCCTTTACTCTCTATATGCATAAGTTTTTGAAACCCAGAGTATATGTAAATGCATGTACGTATGTAATATTTAACCAAATAAATATAGAATTTATTTCCCAGTTCTTATATGTAGTATTTTATGTTTTTATACTATTTTTCCGCGCTTATTATCCAGACCTCAAATTTAGACCAATTCAGAATCTTTATATATATATATATATTTTTTAATTATAATCTTTTTTACCTCTTTAAATGATTACTACGAATTCTTTAAGTCGGTAAAATTGCCAATGAAATTTTGCTAGATTAAGAAAAAAGAAAAGAAATATAAAAAAATGAAAGAAGCCAAAGTTTAGTTAAATTTTTTAGAATATTAACTTTTGATTTTAAAATAATATAAAAGTATAATATGAGCTGGGGAATAAACCAGTCGTTGTTCACGAAGTGGGCAATGAAATATATTCTCTTTAAATGCACATCTTATTTTTGATTCTAAGGGCAGAAGTTTGAGTTAATCACGTGAATATTTTTTAGTTTTAATTGAATTTGCTAAATGCACATTTTCAAGAGTATACACTTAAATAAGTTTAATGGTATATTAAAGTTTCGTTAAAAAAATTTTCTTAATTGAATTGTTTCTTTTCACAAGAGATTCAATATCTTACGCAAATCGTGTTAAATCGCGTAAAATCGCGGATGCGATAGTTTTATCTCGCGCAGTGTACATTACATAGGGATAGATTTTTACCATTATTTCCTATTTTAGGGGACGTCTAGAGCGGAGCAGATTCTTATAATATATATTTTATTGAATTAACATTAGGGTTAGGGTCATCTTATATTGGGGTTAGGTTAGGTTTTAGGTAGTTATATACAGTGATGTCAATTTTTGCGGCCAAACAATTTTTGAGGGCCGGCCAAATGGCCAACTGGCCAACGGCCAATGGCCAATGGGCCAAAAATTTCTAATATATATAATTTAGCCAATCATATTGCTAGTTTTTACTATGGCCATTTCGGCCAAATAATTTTTTATGCATTTTGGCCATTTGGCCGGCCAAATAGCAAAGTAACAACACTGGTTATATATAAGCAAAATTGCCTTTCCGACATTTTTAATTAACCTACCTGAGGCAGATTTAGACTGCCGTTTTTTGTATTTTTCAAGTTTTTCGTTTTTATTTCTTTTTTGCTTCGCCGGCGATCATCAAAATTCTATAATTTGATTGGTCAGATATCACGTGATTCTGCTCCGCTTTAGACGACCCCTATTTTAGCAATACAAATAATAACAAAAAAAAATATGAACAATATGGATATATTTCATAAATGTCCATGCCCATTGCTCTATATTGTCCATTTTCATATCCATATAAACTGGTTATTTAGGTACGCGCATGGAGTTATTTGAACACAGCATACTATTTTGAGGGGTATTATTTTCTAAGTCACGTCCCATGTTATTTCGCGAAAATATAATTTTTAATATTCTCTATACACATTCAAGATGGCATAGGTCAAAGCAAAACAATAAATAACACTTCTAGAGAATATACTATGGTCCTCATAGAAAGACTTTCATATGATTGGCTGTTTAGATCAATTTAATTTGACATTTTTATACAGTTTAAAGTCTTTAAAAAAAAAATAAAACTACAAAAAATAAATAAAAAAAGAAAGTTTTATTAAAATAATCAAAATCCCTTTTAATTTAGAGAAGTTAGTATGATACAGTCAACCCTCGTTAATATCAACTTTGGTAAACCTCCCGTTAATATCAACCTCTTATTAAGAAAACATAGGTTCAAGCTATATAAAAACTATCTCGTTGTTATCAAGCCTCGTATATATCAACACAATTGTCTAATCCAAATGGGTTGATATTAACGAAGGTTGACTACTTTTCAGGCAGGGGTCGTTATTATGCTAACTTTAAAACAAAAAGGTATTTTGATTATTTTTAATAGCGAAGTCCTACAACCCTAAAAAACTTTCTATATACTTTTTTTATTTATTCTTTGTAATTTTTAAAAAAAAACAGCCAATCAAATGAAAGTCTTTCTATGACTATCACTGGTTAAAAAAATTATATTTTAACTAAATCATATCTTCTAATATCTAGTACAAATAATAACTTAATTACTGGGTAATATATGTATTTTAATATATTTACTAGTAAATATATTAAAATGCATATATTACCCAGTAATTAAGTTATTATTTGTACTAGATATTACAAGATATTATTTAATAAATACGTATTTTGTCACAAAAAATTTCCCAATTAACAAAATTTCAAACTTGTTAAAATATAATTTTTTAACCAGTGTATAGTCCTAATAACAAAATCACCATAAGGATTATTGCATGTCTACTTGAACAGAAAATTTAAATCTATAGAAACACCACCACATCTACACTCACCTTAAAAGCCATCTAAACTTTCAATTCGTAATAAATTGCGGAAACTCAAATTTATACCTAACAAAAGAATAACAAAAAAATTTTTCGATACCATTCACCCACTATACTGCATAGCATTGAAAATAATCTTAAACCAATTAATCAAAGTAATTGCAAACTTTACACCTTTCCATTATGAAGAATGCACATGTCATTAATCAACACTCAAGATCCCTTTTTATAAATGCAAAATCACAAGAGACACATTCATCTAAAAGTAATTCAAAATTAATATTTGCTTATGTAAATGAATATATTATTTCAATCATATAGTTAATGCTAACTAGACATAATATACTAATCCATAGTAATGAAAGCAGTAAATAATAAGCATATAAAAAATATACATTCACTAAAATACAGAAATGAATTAAAAATACAAATTTAAGAGAACAGTGTAAAGAACAACGCCTTTATTGAAATGAAAGCAAA